ATGTGGATATATTGACATTAAGAACATGCTGACTTTCTCAGACTTTTGTAATTATTTTCTTTTTATTTCATTTTTATTAGGTTTGTTTACATTTTTAGTCTTTTAGTTTTGCATTTCGTCAATGGCTTGTTTACATTTATACTTTTTTTATGGTACACTACTGAATGACAAAGTTGCAAGTTTAATAAAATGTTCTTTATAATTGTTGATTTTTTTTGTGGGAAATGAATCGTTTAGATCAGGGGTAGGCAAGTTCGGTCCTAGAGAGCCGCAGTCCTGCAGAGTTCAGCTCCAACCCTGAAAACAAAACTCACCTGCCTATAGCCTTAGTAATCCTAAAGACATTGATTAGCTTGTTCAGGTGTGTTTGATTAGGGTTGGAGCTGAACTCTGCAGGACCGCAGCTCTCTAGGACCGAACTTGCCTACCCCTGACCTAGGTGCTGTGGTAAGGTCTTTGTGGAGGTACTATCAGACGCATGGACGCTAGGAAGACTGAACCCCAGAAGACTCAGATGCGAGCCCTCAAGTCCATGTGCATCTGTCCCCTCGCATGTGGGTGATGAATCCAGCCTGCCTGCAGTATGCATCAACAAGCTGTTCAATCACAGAAACACAAAGCCACAGGTATAAGAGCGTGTTTTATGCATGTTCATCCTCACTGACACGCATGCCCTATGATTAGACGACAGAATCATACAGACAGGCTGCATTTAACACCTGAAGCAACACAGCTGTCAAAAAGAGTTTTTGCATCACAGAGGAATAAAGTATGGAAGCTCGTTTCCGCCACGGGATTAAATAAATAAATACAAAATAATTAATGCCACTTTTTATATCACAATTCAGTTTATATATTGCAAATCTGAGAAAAAGTAAGATAACTAAGAATTATTTTCATGCAATTACTAGTTTACATCTTAAAATTCGTTTATATCTCGCAATTCTGCCCTTATTCCTCAGAATTCTGAGTTTATATCTCGTAATTCTACTTTTTTGAAATAAAAATATTATAGGTAATTGTAACCTTTTATCTCACAATTCTGACTTTCTTCTGAGAATTGCTAGTTTATATCTCGCAATTCTCTGTTTTTCTCAGAACTCAGAGAAAAAAAAAACCCAGTCCTACATTCGAAGACAATCATAATTAAACCAAAGGCAATATTTGAATGCTGCTGTGGAGGATAATCAAAACTATTAGTCAAACACAAAGTAGAATTGAAATGTCTAAATGTAAATGCTTATCAAGGGCGTTAAAATATAGGAATAAAGAAAAAATATTTTCAGGGTTTACAAATGATCAACTTTATTGAAACGACTAGTTTGAGGTCATATAAAAATGACTGAGAAAATTTTAATCTACAGACACTGACAATTATCTACTGGAATACTAGAACATATTCAACATCAGTATCAATTCAGCTCTGTTTACATTCAAATGTTCCTCTAGTGGCACTTAAGTGTGGAATCAAAATCATCAATACTTTAGTACTAATACTGTTTTACTGAGGTTTTTCTGGTATTGTTCAATTGATCATGACATAGAAGACGTTAAAAAATGGTACGAGTTCATCCAAAATCACTAATCATCATCTGGATCCAGAGATTCTTCTTTACTACAAAAATGCATTCTGCACTTGATCATGGTAATCTACTGGCATTGCTTCATGTAGCAAATGTATTCAATTTGGTCTTAATGGCCTAGATTTCTTTGAACTGGCTCCAGATTTTACTCTTTAATAACTAGTCCTAACTATTCAACTGAAATAACCCCATAAATGTCTACATACAAAACTTATGATAGGAGAAAAAAACATTGCTTATACAGCAACGACTCCACTAAGGCCATGATGAAACCATTCAATTTTAAGGAAACATTTTTTGGCAGGTTGTTGTCCGTTATGTTGTTTCACAATTATTTTTACAGTGTCTTACACTTGCATCAGATTTAACACCACACTTCAAACTGACTTCTTATGACCTTAAGAATTTGTGTTGAGACTGATGAATGCTATGACGACACCAAGCATATTTTAGCTGTGTAATATTCCTGACATTGAGAGGATGAAGGTCTGGACAGGTCTTTTTTTTAATTATGCAGACCGCTATACGGTAACTTAACTGTAACTCAACTGATTTTAAAACATTTCTTTAGTCTTAACCTTTGAAGCAATATAGACAGTCTTAGAGACATTTGGCAGGATTCAATGGATTAACCACACAGAGCTGCCTTTACATGCTCTTTTCAGCTAATTAAGATCAGTTTAAAGAGCAACAGAATGAAGAGCAAGAATAAAGGCAAGCAAAAAGGATGATCTCCACCATTATGATTTCCTCAGGTCAGAGTTCAGATCTGCTGGCTCTGTGGATGATCTGATTGTAATTTGTTTTTTTCTTGGGTTTGTATTTGAGCAGCTTGCTAAAGTCAGTGAGGAGCCTTTCCCAGTAACAAGACACGTCCTCCATACGGAGATGATCCAGAATAAAGTTCTGGCCCCTAAAGAAGTACAGAACCATAAATATAAGTATTAGCACAGACAATGTCTTAAAGGGATAGTTCAGCCAAACATAAAAATTATATGATAATTTCCTCATACTCATGTTGTTCCAAACGTATATGCACCTTTTTCTTCTGCAAAAAACAAAAGAAGCTAGTCTGAACAATATTGGTAGTCTCGCGTAGCCAGACCTTCAGACTGACGACTGAAGGTCTGGAATCCATGGCAGCTTTTATTGGCCATGAGGCCGTTTGACAGACATGTCAAACACCCAATCACAGGTCGTTTCGTTCAGCGTTACGTTTTGGGGCGTGGAAATTTCGCCACAACAACAGTACTCGCGGACGTATTTTAAAGATTCTATGTCACGAACTTTAAATATTTCACATACTTTTGAAAATCCAGCGTCCTGATAAGCGCTCATCGTCACAGCTGTAAACACGACGGCTTTCTTCTTTCGTGAGGGGGTTTGGCATCACGGCATCTTTGTTTCCAGGCGGAACGTTAAAGAATGCAATACACATCTCGATGACAACTTCGAAACTCCTGAAGTGTTTCCATTTTGTGTGCCGTATGCATCAGACGTTCAGCCAATGGTCTGTGGGCGTGACATCTGAGGCTGAGACTAGGCATGGGCCGATTACTAGTTTCAAGGTATACCGCGATTTGAAAATTTCACGGTTTCCGAGCGAGCAGTCAGTCACGTGTGTGTAGGATGGCCGAACTTAAGGAGCTGCCCCTGGAACTTATGCGATCGGCAAGCAGCCGTTTTTTGTCTTATTGCAACTCGTCTTTGTTCCGGACTTGCACAAACTGCGTTGCAATGCAATAATTTTCCAAAATGTAATTTATGTGAAAATATGAAGTCTGTAAATGCCCGTTAACACAGGCCAGAGACGTTGAAGACGGACGCAAAGAGAAAAATACTGTAGCAGGCAGATCACTCACTGTTCATGATGCACGAACTATTGGAAGAAAATCCTC